CACTCCCACTGGCGTTTTGAACAAACACCTTGAAAAATCTGCGGCTGAAATAGATGTGCTGTTTGCTATCCCAGCACTCCTGTGTTCAGAGCATCAGCCTGCAGGAAGGGAGCCTGAACCTCTGCCTAAAGTTGGCACCTATTTGCCATGAGAATAGAGAGTTTTTTTACATCCTACTCTGGCTGTAAAACATCTACAACCTGCTCTACCAATTTCTGCCCCACTCCTATCCCAGGAAACAGAGACTGTTGCTCTTAATCTATAAGCTGGTTTCCAGGTTTCACTCATGCACCCTTGGAGCTGCATGGACTGAGTAAGTGAGTCATGAGAGCATACCAGGATGGACAGAAAGGACAATGGGTCTCCAGAGCAGGCAGGTAGAGGAAAGGAAGTGATGTGTGTGCATTAGAAAAACTGTTCATTTTGGGAGCACACATCAGTAGCAGTATACAGAGCAGTACACATGCCCAGAGCATGGGGAGTTTGAACTGTGCCAGGGCCAGGGAGCCCTCTGAAAATGGAGACATAAGTATTTGCTATGATTTCCATAGCTGCACATGTGGCTGTGCTGGAGACACACCACGAGAGGGAGATGGACACCAGAGCAGAGAGTGCTCTGCTCCAGCCATCCGCACAGCCACTTGCTAAACCCCATCCCACTGTCACACAGAGGAATGTCAAATACCAGCTTTCTCTAGAGACTTTTTGCAGGTCAAAATGCAGGGATAGAAGCTGCCCACACCATATAAACCCAAAAGTATTTCCTTCAGCAAACAAGGACAAGGTTGTGACAGACCCCACGGTGCTCTGTGCTGAAACAGATTTTTCCACTCTGTATTTACTCATAAAAACAAAATGATGAAAAGCAATGTGGCCACAGATTTTGATGGGGACAGACTTGCTCTTCCAGGCACCCTGTTTGTGAGACAGGTTAGTTCTTTCCTGGCCAGAGAAGATGTTTCCTTAGCCAGCATATGGGCTGAGCATTGCTCTCCCTCAATACACCCCATGGTTATCTCCCACTCCTGCCATACCTCCATTACCACTGCCACCTCTCCACACACCTCCAGAGGAACCACAGACAGCAAAAAATTCTAGAAGTGAAATGGTGTGTTGGGTCCTAGTCAGTCTTACAGAAAGAGACTACACTAGACGGGCTTCAAAGGTTTCTTATCTTACCAGAGCAATTTTGGAGCATCACCTGGTTCTGACACTCTCTCCCATAAGATCCTCATGGACAAGTTAATGGAGTATGAGCGGGATAAGTGGATAGAGAGTTGGACTAAAAACTGGTTGAATGGTTGGGCTCAAAGGGTTATAATCAGTAGCACAAATTACAGATAGAGGCCAGTAATTAGTGCTGTAATCCAGGGCTAATAAGTTTAACACAATTACCAGGGTGTTGGAGCAGAGTGCACCCTTGTCAAATTTGGGGAAGGCATAACACTGGGAGTAGTGTTGGGTACAACACAGGGTTGAGTTGCCATCCAGAGGGTCCTCAGCCAGCTGGGAATACGGGCTGACAAGGAGCTCATGAAGTCTGGGGAAAGAGAAGCGCAAAGTTCTAAATCTGAGGAGGAACAAGTCCATGCACCGGTACATGACTGAGGATGTCCAGTTGGAAGTGATCATGGTAGAAAAGGCCCTGGGGGTCCAGGTGGTCACCAAGGTGGCCACAATCCAGCAATGTGTCTTTGCAGCAAGGGAGCCAACAGCTTCCTGGGCTGCACTAGGAGAAACGTCAGATACCAAGGGAGATGATCCTTCCCTTTTACTTAGCACTGGTGACACACATCTGGTGTGTAGTGTCCACTTTGGAGCTCCTCAGCACAGGGCAGGGTCATACCAAGCACATCCAGCAAAGGGCCACCAAGATGGGACAACAAGGAACCCACAAACATTGTCCACATATCACATTTCCACAGCCTAACCCAGTAAAGGTAGACAAGGGCCTGAGTTTTAGCAATCTGCAGAGTTCCATGCAAGGATTTGCTAAAGCACTTGTTGGAGTCCAAGACCTGATGTAGCTCCCAGCACAGACCTAATCCCTGCAGTACAACCTGAGCTGAAGAGCACAGCCAAGACCAGCAGGAAAAGGCAATCTGCTACCAAGTGGCTTTCAATGCACCTCTTGAAGGCCACCGAGCCTTGAGAGAGGCCTGAAGCCAAAGTGTGTGAAGCTGGTTTAGGGCCCTTAGTCTTTCCTGGCACAGCTGCCCTGTTCAGGCACTGTACCCAGCTAATGCAACCAGACAGCTCCTGCCTGGCGAGCTAAACCAGTCAGGGATCATTCAGGCATTCTTCAGGTGCTCTGTCTGGTTGAGATCCAGCCACCAACCCCTGTTCTGATCATGTCAAGTGTTGGGCTTGGTCCAAGGTGTGTTCTCAGAGCCACCTTCCCACAGAGCACAGCGTGCAGAAGAAACACATCAACCAGCTTTGCCAGCAGAGAGCTGGTGAGGTAAGTCACAGGTTCAGATATACTAAACCACACAGAACTTGCTGTCAGACACCAACACCAGCTGCCTTGTCCTCAGCACCAAGTGGTCTTCACGATGATGTCTAAAATCAAGAGGCAACTCACTGCTCACCTGTAAGTGTTGCCTGAAAGATCAGCTTGCACATCATTCATTAATTACATGGTCACCCAGAGCTGGTGACCCACTCCCAGGCAAGTGACACCTGACAGCTACATAACAGGCACTTGGCACATCTTGATCCTTTGGGCAAAGAATTGCCACTGCTGGTTTGGCCTTTATTCTTTGAATCCCAAAGTCCAAATGGCAGTTGATACCTACATCCTTGAGTGCCCAGCACTGTAGGTTAGTGATGAGCACCTGAACTGGCATGGATTGAGTTATAAATGGGAGGTTTTATGTCAATGCCACCTTTCTACATTCATCATATAGGGAATCAGTCCTCAGGCAACCAGGAGTGCTTTTCCTACCTAAGGCACGCAGCCTCAGGCAGGCATTCCTGCACCTCACTCCAGCACTCAAGATGGGATCTCATCTGGACCTTCTCAGAAGGTAAATTTCTGGAAATTTAGGGATTCCCTGAGGCAGTTAGTACATTAATAAAACCCTCCAACAGCTGGCTGAACCTGGGATCCAGTGAGCCCATCACATGGCAGTGGAGATCTCCACTGCTCTGCCTCTATCTCTCAGGGCAGGCTGATGCCAGGGACCTCATTCCCACGCAGGAATCAGCAGACTGTGATCCTGTTACTTATTAACCAGCTCTGATAATCTGAACAATGCATCGCTCCAAGATATCCATCACTGACCTGCCAGCCAGTGGCTTTTCTGTGTGTCACTGCAGCCTGTCAAATACCTCATTAAGGCTCCAGAATCAGACAGAGCAGTCCTAAATCTGGTTCCTTTGTACAAGGACATGTGGTGACAGGACAAGGCCCTGGCACAGGTTGCCCAGAGAAGCCGTGGCTGCCCCATCCCGGGAAGTGTCCAGGGCCAGGCTGGACAGGGTTTGGAGCAACCTGGTCTAGTGAAAAGTTGTCTGGAGTAACCTGGTCTAGTGGAAGGTTGCATACCCCCCACCACCCCCCCCCATGGCAGGGAAGTTGTAACAGGATGAGCTTTAAGGCCCGTTCCAATCCAAATCATTCTGTGATTCTGTGACTCCCTGGAGGAAAGTACCACCACATAGCTCTGCAGATGGAGGCAGCACAGCAACAAGTCCTGCCAGTCCCCTGTGCTGCACTCATTGACAAAGAGTAGAAAAGAAGTTGTTTCAAATAACTTGAAGCCAGGCCTAAGCATCCCTGAAACAGGAGATATGTGAAGCCTAAAACTCAATCCGAACAGTCTCCCTATGAGGGTCTCCCATCCAAATCACCCAGTGAATTTCCCTTCTTTTAAGATGCAAGGATTCATTTTACCAGCGAGAGAGTAAAGGCAGCCCAAGGAAAAATTAATAGTAAAGGGGAAAAATTTTACTGCACTGGAGTGATGTAGCTTCCCCTGCAAAATTTCGAGTAATATGTACTGCTTGGTGCACAGTCAGGGGATGACAGTGTCTGGCTCACTCACAAGGGTTAGTGCTTGTCTGATCAGAGGAAGCCTTGCTCATGCAGCAATGCTGACAACTTATGTCAGATGCCCCCCTCTTAGAGGAGAAAAAAGTCCATTTGGCTGTTAAAAACATCTCTATCAAAAGAGATGGACTCCAGGGATGGTCATGGTGAGAATAATATCATACGGATGCTGAGGCTGTTTCCATGGAGCTGGAGGAAACAAAGTCACAAAGCTAGATGGGTTCTGGTTCAACAATAAACCATTCTCTCTTGCACCCAGGTGAATTTGTAGGGTTGCCTCTCTAACTCATCACTGTAAAAGAGTCCTAACGTGAATTATGCCATGGCTTAAATTAGCCTAACAGGTTTCTTAAGTTCAGTAGCTTCTTCTCTGCCCTTTCTCCTATAACTCACTCTCTCAATACTTCCCTCTCCAGCCTCTTCTCTGCCTTTCACAACACTTCCACAACCTTATAAACCTCTTCAATATGCCACACTTCTGATATTCCAGATTCCTCCAGTGAGCAAGGGAGGGTAGGTTAAAAAAAAATTGATTTTCTCATATAGTTAATTAAAAAAAATTAAACAATGGAAGGTCACCAGGTCTTTCACTGCACTGTGTTAACAGAATTGTGCTTCTGAAAACTACCCAGAAATAGGAAAACTTTGACAGGTTGCTGAACACAAAATGTGCTGTGAGGTACATTTCCAGGTCAGAGTTTTGAGAGGGAAGGATGCTGAGTTGTGTTGGATAAGGAGAATAATGCTCAGGGTCACTGATAGTCCAGTTTAAAGCCTTCAGTCCTTCAGGTAGAGAGGAGAAAGAACTGAGTTAAAGGAGAATTAACAACAACAACAAAAAAAAAGACAAAGCAAAAAAAAAAAAAAAAAAAGGCAATGGGGAAGAGGCTGTTGGCAAGAGACCCAGGACAGAGTAAGAGGAAAGGTGGAGAATTCAAAGGGGAACCTTCTTAACATTTGCTTGCAGCTCACCAAGTGGGAGGAGAAACAAACTAATTAGTAATGTCAAGACAGGAGCCATGCTAGCCTATATAAGCTGGTGAGACATTTTCTTTTTCCCTACTTTCCTTCTTTCCTATTCAGCAAAGCAACAGCTACCCCTGAGTTCATCAGAGAGGTAAGAGCACTCTTGTTCATTCCTTTTAATGCACAGCAGTAAACATGCACCCTGTTACTGACTTACCTGGGTCCTTCCTCTCCCTCAAAACACCTGACAAACAGCATTTGATCAGTCCTGCTGAAGGAGAACTGCTAAGGCTCAGAAGGAGCAGAGACGTTAGGGAATGTCACAAGAATATCAATTATTGAGAAGCTTCTAGCAGGGTAAGGATTTATTAGTACTGCTTAGCCCAGCTGGATGAACCTTTGAGGAAAAAGAGAAAAGGAAAGAAAAATAAAATAACTGGAACTCTTTAACATCTTTTACTGCCTTTCTGTTCTGCAAAATGAAAAATGCCCAGATAGTAATTATACACAGTTAACGTGATGGTGTCTCTGCATTCCTCTTTCCCCGAGAGACAGATCCCTGAAAACTGAATTGCGGATGGGCTTAATGAATATTTGAATCTGAAGGATAAGCTTTCTTTGAACTAATACTTTGAAATATACCTTCTACGGGAAAACCTGAAGGTATTTTTTTTCACAGTGAGGGTCAAGTGCATTACAGTCTCTCTGTTTGGAGGAGCGTGCTTGTGCATGCTCGTGCTCCTGTACATGACACAACACTAATCCAGCTTTACTGGAAACAGTACACAGCCTGTGCTGGAACTAGAGTTGCTGAGAATATGGCCCTTTCCTCCTATTGTACTTGGATGCAGGAATTCCTCTAAAAACAGGCTGCACACAGAGCTGGCTGCCCGCAGACTTCACAGCAACAATTCAGAGAATGCGAGAGATACAATGGCCGCAATTGTGCGGTAGCAGGTCCTTGGACAAACAAATACCACACAGCAATTTAAACCCTCTCGATTTACAGAGAAACACTGATTTTGGCAGGGAAAGAGGAAAATTCCAGAAAGAAGAGAAAGTACTAGGTAACCTTTGCCGCATTTGCAGAGGAAAAAAAAAAAAAAAAAAAAAAGCCCAGCCCCAGCTTGGAAGTGCCTGGGAGGGTTAATCAGCCAAATTAAAAACTCTATTCCTTTCTCAGCTGCAAGCACCACACCGCTCTTACCATGCATAACACATAACGGGTGTGTGACCGGGTTTGTCTCCACTTCAGCAGGTGAATAAAGGAGTATTTGTAGGCCCTGACGCTGCAGGAGTGCAGCTCCAGCGCGGAGCCTGCTCGGCGGCAGCTTTAACGAGGCATTACTGGGATGCCGTGGGTATGGCATGGCATGGAGGAAGTGTACACAAGTGGAAGGAAAATTGATTTAGGGAGACACAAAGTTGCATAACATCAGTACTTTGGCTGCAGGACATTTATTAACTCTGAAAAGATGGTTAAAAAAAAAAAATAGATTAGCGACTCGGCCCCGTGATGATTTCATCTGCATAAAAGGGGAACATCTTTCTTTTCATCTTCTGTTTTGTTTCACGGGAAGCTCTCTCTTCCCATGGAAAAAAAATAGTTTTAAATAGTTCCTCTGCACTCACAGCAGAGCACAAATCAGTCCTTGCACCACTAGGATGAAAATTACATTCAGACTGGCTCTGCCTGGGTCCTGCTGCTGCTCCTGTATCTCACCAGTTACATACCAGTATTGGGAGCCCTCACTGCATGGCTGCAGAGCTTATGTAAGATGAGGCAGTGTGCTTCGACCTGTCTGAGGACAGGACTTGGTCTTCAGTTAAGAATCTGACAACACTTTCCCAAACTAATAGAAATCAGGAATAATAAAAAAAAATTTAGCAAACTCACCTCCCCGCAAAAGCCAAGCAGTTTGTTCCCAGCTTCTCTGGGATCCTTTTGTAATTATTTCTATTTCCTTCCTTTGTGCACTAAGGAAAAAAAAAGGCACTTTGAGTGAAAACCACATGTTATCATAACTTCAGTGGCAGGTCTTCAAAAGACCTGCTGCAGACTGGCCTTCATGCAATCCCCATCAGAACATGCACACTTGAGTTTGAACTAATATTCAGGCATTACTGTCTTAAAATTCTCTGAACATCTCCATAATTCTGAGAGAAGACACCTTTTGTAGTCTCTCCTTTCTCAAATACCTGCTATCACCTATTCCCTAGAACAAGGTAAAGTGTTAACAAATCATTAATCTGAGCTTATATGGCAGGTGCTGCTTTGTAAAGTGTCAAAAATTATTAAAAATGCATGAAAAATTCTATACTGATGCCAGTTTCAAAGTGGTTCACCACATCTTTATATTTTCTTTGGACAACTAAGTAGAAATAGTGCAAGTCCTCCATGGTCTGTGTTTCTGAACAGATGGGACAAGCCTCAAGGTGGTGGTGACAGCCAAACACCCTCACACAGGAGGCAGCCCCCAGGCAGCACCCGGAATGTGACTCAGAGAGGCCAGAAAGCCAATGGGGCTGGATCTGGGTCTTTACAGTTCCAAGACCCCATCAGAAAACAGAGGTCCTCCTGGCCTACCCATTACCCACCAGGCTGCTCTGCAGCTGAGGAAATTGTTCCATAATGATTTTATTCTCCCTTAGCATATATATAACCATAGAATCAGACAATGTTGAGGGGTTGGAATGGACCTTAAAGATCATGTAGTCTCAACCCACCTTACCATGGGCAGGGACACCTTCCATAATCACAGAATGGTTTGGATTGGAAGGGGCCTTAAAGATCATGTCATTCCACCCTCTGCCATGGGCAGGGACACCTTCCACTAGACCATATTGCTCCAAGCCCTGTCCAACCTGGCTTTAGACACTTCCAGGGCTGGGGCAGCCACAGCTTCTCTGGGCAACTTGTGCCAGGGCCCCACCACCCTCTCAGGGAAGAATTTCTTCCCTATATCCCATCTAACCCTACCCTCTGCCAGTGGGAAGCCATTCACACTTGTCCTGTCACTACTACTGAACACATAGGAAAGGTGAAACCTGATCCCTCTCCGTAGACAATCAACCTTTGATAGACTGGGACTGTCCGGGGGCTGGACTAGATAACCATTAAAGGTCCCTTTCAACCCAAAGTACTCTATGATTCTATGATTCTGTGATATAACGAACATGAGTTTGACCAGCACTGCTGGCCAGAAGGTAACTGAGTCCCTGAGACTTTGGATATTCCAGAAGGACAGATGTGCAGGGTACTGACACAGCCTCCATCGGGGATGAAGTTTGAAACAGCTTAGTGGAAGTGACTCACCGGGGTCACCTGGTGTTTTTGCCATGCCAAGTGCATTGAGCTGGCTTCATTCCTGCCCATGGGAACGCAGAGCAAAGGAGTTCTGCTGGCTCAGTCTTGCAGTATGCACTTAACTGCCTTTATATGGCAAAGCAATACATCAGTTTTTGACAAATTAGAGCCCTCAACTTGATCCATTTTTTTTTTTCTCCACTTTGCAAGTGGGTCAGTGACACCACTACTTCTTCACGTGCACATTGCACCCCACACTGCACACCCTGCTCCAGGTCTCACTCAGCATGGAGGGAAACACCTTGGGCATGGGACACACAGCATCATTCTGCAGCGCAACAGCACTTGACTTTGCAGGTTAGCAACTGGGAAAGCCTAACTAAAGAGGAAGATTCTTTAAATGGAAAATGTAAATGCACTTTCACCAAATGAGGAGCATTTATCTTGGCTGGAAATTTTGATTTAACTGAAAGTGCATCCAATTCACTTATTCCATTATTTCAGAATAAAAAATGAGAAAAGTGAAGGTTAATGAATCAAGGTAATGAATTATAAGCGAGCCAGGAAAAAGCCTTCCAGGACCAAGACACCATCCCTAGAAACACTTTTTTCTCTTTTTCTTCCTTAACCTTTTTATTTAAGGTCCTTGCCTTTGTGTCCTCCACAAAGTCAAATTCAACACTCTTCTGCATACCAGTCCTGTAATCAGCCTCTCATATGGAACCTGTCCTTATATTAGTTGGGCTCTTCTGGAAAGCATGAAATGTCTGTTTCCTATTTGTGCAGATATTTACTACATCCTGAAAGGTGACCACCAGTCCTCCTGTAGCACACAGTAAGAAACTGGCCAGGATGTGGATTAACAACCTATTCCCCTACACAGACTCGGAGCTGCTTAACCACAAGTCTGGGTCTGGAAGTGTAATGCCCAGGGGTGAGGCTGCTTAAGCTTAGTTGCCCAGCACCTGTGTTTCTGAAGTTTGGATTCTCTACCTGAGCTATTAGGAAGGCTTTTACTGAAGTTTCAAGTGAGTCAAGGACTAACTCAATATTTATGTGTTTCTATCATCCTATTTAGACTATCAACCCCCTCCCTAAATTCATTGCTTTTTGCACAAGCCAGTACTCACCAGTGAGACCTGAAGCAGGTCTAGTTCTGTATTCACTCAACAACGCACCTTGTCTTGTGTTTTCTTTGCCTTGGTAATTACCAAGAATTAGTCCTACTCTTCAGGAAACAGAGTATGCTCCAGGGAAAGGTTTGGCTGTTCTTAATTTGCTGGCTTCATATTGAGAATTGTCCCTTAGACAAATAACATTTTGGCTATAGGACACTGTTCTCAAAATCCAGTGTTTACAGTTAGGTATAAATCTCTGATCCAGAGACTTACAGCCTGAATAAGCCTGTCTAGAGCTGTATGAGGTGCCAAAGGGTTTTCCAACAGCTCCTTATCCAAAAAAACTGTGTCCCATAGGGGACCCCATCTCTGCCAGCCCTGTGTGGATACCCGAAACACCTTATTTAGGCCTAAACATCTTTTTTTGACCTATAACAGTCCCCTACCTTATTTAAATGTTCTTATAGTACCTGCTAAATTTAATAGGTGTCTTTTCATTAGTCCCTTAGGGCTTCTTACTGCAGCTTCCAACATGTGGTCCCCTATCTTGTCTTGGCAGAAAACAAAGCAACATGACTGAGGTAGAGTGGAAATCAAGCACTGTGAATTTGGCCTTTAGGCTCTTGAATCAGTGCTGGGTATTTCTAAAGACGGGCAGCTGAAAGTGTAGTTCTTTTGAGAAAAGAAATGCATGTGAGTAATGAAATAAGGCACCATGAACATCCCTCAGGCTAAGCCTGTGCTCATGAGGAAGGCTGAACTGATCCCAGAGACCTATAAACCCAGCTTTAGGTGCCTGTTATTGACGGCTGATGGACAAATTGAAACTGGAAATACAAATTACGCAGCAGAGGAAACTTAATAATTAAAACACCTTCTTATATCGGCTGGATAGCTCTATCAAGCTGAATCTTGAGGCAGACTTCAACCTCTGTGAAACCAGTGTCCTCTAATGCTGTCTTGCTCTTTTTGAAATGACCCTTTAAATCAAGAGCTGCTTGATTTCTAGAACACCTGGTATAGCTGAGAAGGGTTTCAATATTGGGTAAAACACCATGACAAAAGGGTCGGTCATTCCTTGTGGTGTTCAAATGCGTGGAATTCTGGAAGGACAGAGCATAAGTTCATGGAGACACGAGAATCAGGTATGTTCAGAATAAGGATTTCCCTCTTTCTGGCTCCTAAATAGCACAAAGTGAGCAATAATATATGGTAGAGAGAATAAACAGGAACTAGTGAGAGGCATTACAACAAACTGTTCTGTTTTCTTTTTGCCTTAGATTTTACCAAAGGCCCAGAACAATAACATGGAAAACATTGTTGATGTCAAGATAGACACCAAGGGGGAAAGAAAGCCAATGAAGCAGAATCCACTGAGCAAAGGTGGAAAGAGAGTCTGCAAAGCTGTTGGGTACATCACTGGAGACATGAAGGAATTTGGAGCCTGGCTAAAAGGTAAAGATCCTTCATCATGAGTAATTAGGAGATTCCAAACAAAAAGTACATCAAAGGAGTAATAACTAACTTCTCAGCTATGTGACTCAGTTCAGAGTAGTACAGAAACTACTTTTAGCCTGATTTATATCTGTTTTGTAGGTGGAAAAAAATCAGCTTTGTGCAGAGATTCACATACTGCTTAAATCTTGAGGATGTCTGAGATGACATTTACCTCCCAACAAGCCATGTACAAATGGAATTTAGTCCCACAGAACATAGCCCCAGATGGTTATTCTGTGCTCTGCCATTCTTCATAACACTCCATGTCCTTTCAGCTGAGCAGTTGCTGTCAAGCCTATTGCCACTGTGAAGTTAAATTACACATAGGTAGGTGTGTTTGGTCCCCACAATAAATCAGCAGTGGGATATTCATACAATTTGCCATCTGAGCCACAGACATCATAAATTAGCTGGTTCATATGAATCCGGTCCAGGGTACTTTATAACAGGGGTTCTGGCAACCATGCTGTTCATCTCAGTTTTCCAGCTGTAAGGCTGCAGTATAGACCATAATAAATCCCAGTCAGGTTTTGCAGTCTTGTTGATTCATTGCTTCAGTCGTGCTGCCAAGTCCCACCGCCAGAACTCTTCCTGAGTTTCAAAAATACATCCCGGAATCAGCACCATCTGTGTACCTTAGGGGGCTTGTTTTATTATTTAATTTGATGTCTTCCAGATAAACCTCTCCTGATCCAGTTTTTTGACTGGGTGCTGCGTGGGATATCCCAGGTGATGTTTGTCAACAATCCCCTCAGTGGGCTGATTGTCCTTGCTGCCTTTGTGCTGCAGAACCCTTGGTGGGCACTCACAGCGTGTTTGGGAACAGTTGTCTCAACCTTAACAGCACTTATTCTGGGTCAGGACAGGTAAGTCCATCCTTTTCCCTCTCAAAAGCAAGTGGTCACTTCAGTGCTGACTTACGTGTTAAACACATTATATGGATGAGAAGCCTGAACTTAGTGGAACGTGTCCCTGTCCCTGGCAGGGGGCTGGAACTAGATGATCTTTAAGGTTCCTTCCGACCCAAACCTGCTATGATTGCATGATCCAGCCTTCACTGGCCATGTGTCTGGTCAGGCAGGACCAGACAGATCTTCCCACCTGTTACAAAGGGACAGTGGACATACCTACTGAAGTGGTTGAGGGCACCTGGGACTCAAATGTGCAAAACTGAATGTCAGTGGATGAGTCTGGGCAGGTCTTCACCACACAGAGTCACAACTGCTTGGGGAGGGAGGGGGTGATGCAAGCAAAGCCTTCTCAGGTGAGAAGATTTCAAGGTTAGTTTTTCCCTTCCCACAGGTCAGCCATAGCAGCCGGCCTGTATGGATACAATGGGATCCTGGTGGGATCACTTGTGGCCGTCTTCTCTGCTAAGGGAGACTACTACTGGTGGCTCCTGCTGCCCGTTTCACTGCTGTCCATGACTTGGTAAGGCCCCTCTCCTTCTTTTTCCAACCCATGAGTCTCCACACTGAGACTGAGCTGTTGTATTTCTATGCAGAGCCCAATGAAAGGAAATACGACTAACATACTGCTAAATCCATGCCATTATTTGCACTTTTGAACTCAAATGTAATCCAGAAACAAATAAAAATACCCACATAATCACAAATAAGCCCAGTGGGGAGAAGGAAATCGATGGCTGATCACATGTAATTCAATACTCTAAATGGGAGTCATATTGCTGTGATGAGTCAATTCATTTTTGTTTCAAGAGGAACATTATTTTCGCCATTCCCCATTGTCATCAACCACAAGTGTTCCATCTATTTAAGCCACCAAATAAAAATGTCATGAAAATTTACTTCTCCAGGCACAGAAGCTGTTCAGTGGTCCCAAGGCATGACGGTTGACGCTAATCAAAACAAACAACTAATAATACTTCACTCATATATATGACAAAATAATCCGCTAGGTAATGGGACAGCAAAAGATTTTGAAAGCCGGCCTTTGACCCCAAAATGTCTAGTTGCAGATTGCTAAAACCATGCATATAATTTGTCTGCCTGAAGTTCATGTAGTCTTACAGTCACTTTGATGTCAGCTTTTACTTCTGATCCACAAGCTTGAGCAAGGGCACACAGCCACGTTCACAGTTCACTCAGACCTGGCAAAGGTGTACAGTATTCAGTCCAGTTCGAGTGCTGGAAAGAAAAAAGGTGAACACTGAGACTGAGCTGGGGAATACCTCCATTAAATTGCTGGATCCTGTCTCCTTCATGCTCACCAAATTCACCATATATATTGTATAACATGACAGGAATCTAGACATTTATAACTGCCTTGGAAAGGGCAGGATATTTATACAGTGACCCTGTCATGTGTCTGATTTGATCAGAAAGATTGAGGAATTAAATAGCTTTAAAAAAAATAGACTGAACTTGCTGTAGTGGGGTTTATGGTTGGATTTGGCTCTGGTGGTTTTTTTGCCTAGCTGACCAGCTTCTAGTGAGACCATTTTATTCTTCTTTCAGCCCCATTTTCACCAGTGCTTTAGCTTCAGTCTTCTGTAAGTGGGACCTGCCTGTTCTCACCTTGCCTTTCAACTTGGCCTTGACCCTCTATCTGGCTGCATCAGGACCACACAACCTCTTCTTCCCTACAACTGTCGTTCAGCCTGCAACAGCAACACCAAACATCACCTGGACAGATGCTGAAATCACAATGGTAGGTTGTCTTAAAGATAACAGTCTTCTTCACTTACAAATAAAAACACTACAGAAATGTATTATATTCCTTTATAGGATCCCAGAATGGTTTGGGTTGGAAGGGACTTTAAACACCATATTGTTCCACCCTCCTGCCACAGGCAGGGACACCTTCCATTAGACCAGGTTGATCCAAGTCCCATCCAACCTGGCCTTGGACACTTCCAGGGCTGAGGCAGCCACAGCTTCCATGGGTAACCTGGGCCAGGGCCTCATCACCCTCACAGACAACAATTCCTTCCCAATATCCCATCTAACCCTCCCCTCTGGCAGTGGGAAGCCATTCCCCCCATCCTGTCCCTCCATCCCTTGTCTCAGATCCCTCTCCAGCTCTCCTGAAGCCCCTTTAGCCCTGGAAGGGGCTCTCAGGTCTCCCTGGAGCCTTCTCTTCTCCAGGTGAACACCCCCAGCTCTCCCAGGAGCAGAGGGGCTCCAGCCCTTGGAGCATCTTTATCACTCTGGACTCATCCCAACAGGTCCACCTCCCTTGTTACTGCAGTACAGCCTGGCAATACAAAATTTGGTTCATAAGATGGCTTGTTATCCAAGATGTAAATGTTTACTCTAGGAATGAACATTTTGATAGCTGAAAAACACAAATCTTGTTGGTATCTTCCATTTGCAGTTGGATCTGAATCTTCAAAGAGTCTCTAGAATCCAATTCCCCTTTTCTGTCGTAACTGATCACCTCCCCATAGCTAAGGTTGTCCTGAGACTTCCAGTTAACTCACAGGGTACTTTGGGTTTTTCACACAGAATGCTTATAAAATTGCATTTTCCTAATTAGACATGAGCAAGCAGATATTACTATGGTAGAATAGTTACAAATGGGAGCAGGGACACATTCATATATTTTTAATTTATATTCAAGTCAGAACTTCCCAAAGAAACATTTTATAGTATAACACTATAAACCGTATAGATATGAGAGTAACTGCTTTCCCCCAAGGCTCAGCAGACTATTTTGAGGGATACCCAGGGAGTGATTAAGAAAAGGGAAGTTAATTGACATTAAATATCAACCCAAAAGTGACATTTCAGAACACTTACCATGGTGCATAATTTTATGGGGATCATAAATGGAAAAGTGCCTCAAAACCATCTTTAAGCTGTGACCAAGCTTGTGGGTCTCTGTCCCACCAACTCAGCAACTCCATTCACATTCCCCGTGAATCCCAAGAGCGTTTCAGGTATATAACTAAACTGAGAATAAAGCCTTTTCTGAGTTAAAGTCTCATAATTCTGACCAAGCCATTATTGGCCATATCACCCTTGGATCTGCCCAGTCAGAGGGGAATGTCCTCTCAAAGGCATCATCTACCTGAACACTTCCATGCCCTGGGCTCCCTGTCGTGGTTCATATGGGTATGAAAAATGGCCAAGTCAGCAGCAGGTGCAAATACGATGAGTAAACCCTTTCACAAAATATTTATGTTTGATATTAGACCAAAAACCTGGCAGAGGAGCTCATGGCTAGGGAACAAGTCATGACTCATTTCCATTGAAGGGGCAACCCTGTGGAAATGCCCTGCTGTCTCTCGAGAGGCATCCAAATGCTCCACTTAGGAAGACAGACTGCATCCAGTAAATGCCAAACACGAAACTGGCCAAGAAAAATATGTTAAAAACCAAAAAGTTACAACACTGATAACAAATAACAAATTGTCTTGTTTTTTTGGTTTTTTGGGTTTTTTTGTTGTTAGTTTTGTGGGTTTTTTTTAAATTCTTACAGCTCCTGCAATCCGTTCCAGTCGGCGTGGGTCAGGTTTATGGTTGTGACAATCCCTGGACTGGGGGAATCTTCCTGGTGGCTTTATTTATCTCTTCCCCACTCATTTGTCTGCATGCAGTGATTGGCTCAGCAGTGGGGATGCTGGCAGGTAAGGATTTGAATTGTGTCACAGATTTGTATAAAAGCATAGAGAACAAAAGAGGAACTGCAATAAGCAGAGCACTTACAGTCACAAGTTTTTCTTCCATTGGAGAACAACTGCTTGAAAACAAAACACACATAGACTTCTGCTTTAAGAATTCTTTTGATTGACTTCCCCATTCTCTTACCTTGTTTTGTGATGGTGAAAATCTTCAGAAGTGTGTGTTGGGCTGAGATGAACTTTTACCATGAAATACTTAATTTCTGGATATGTTCTGGTGGGTTTAGGAGCAGACTAATAAAAGTCATAGCCATCAGTGTGGATGTGTGGGCCCCAGGGATGCATTTAAGGCTCACACATGGGCTCATATGTCCGCTGTTGAAATCACATCATCAGATTCAGCTCAGGGAAATTCTGCCATGAATTCATCAGATTAAAGTGCCTTTGGCGTTAGACTGGAACAACACGACCACAAATAGGAGCTCCACGCACATATGCTGGCTAGAACCCTTGAAGAGCTGGATTCCTGCCATTCCTCCGCTGCTTTCACCTCTTTGGCCAAGGAATGACAACATCTTCGGCTTATTTTTTTCCAGGGCTGAGCTTGGCAACACCGTTTAGCCAGATCTACTCCGGGCTGTGGGGCTACAACAGCTCCCTCTCCTGCATTGCCATCGGGGGCATGTTCTACGCCCTCACCTGGCAGACACATCTGCTGGCGATTGCCTGCGGTAAGTACCCAATGTGTTCTCACCTCAGCCACTCTTCCTTTTGAAGTGACTCAAGAGGCATTCGTAGCAGAGGTGGATGGAGCCAGATGGGCACCTCCAGGCAGGCAGATGGACTTAGGTGAGACTGACAAATGATGGAGCCGGGTGCTGGAGCCGTGGCTTTAAACCTGACCTGACAGAATAAAAGCTGTCCTTTTATTTTCAGCCAAGAGCTGTGTTTAAAAACAAGAGATGTGATCAGTGGACACTGATTAACCAAGGCCCTTGAAATTGGGCGATTCATTTTGAGACATTAATTGTATTTGTTCTTCCGTTGCTGGATGAATCATGGTGGGTTTTCCAATCACAGATGCCAGCTCAGGTTCCTTCTTTGACGAAGGACATACCTAAACTTTGAGAAAAGTGGAGCTCGAGATCAGACCACAGCTGTAGTTAGACAGTACACATTCCCATTCTATTGAAATGGATACCAAAGGCATGAGCTAGGTAACACAGCATGATTGAAGAATTATTTATAAGGCAATTCCATATGAAATTTCAATATCAGAGTGAGCTGGGAGTGAAACTGTTGTTCATTCAGTGCTCATATAAAAAAGATTTAGCTTTGTATCTCATTGACCCACCTTCAAGCCCCAGAGGCAGGACAGATGAGGGTGGAGGGGTTATTTTCCTGTTTAACCCCATCCATCAAGCTACATACTTTCCATGTCAGTGCATTTTTCAAAAGCCTCTGATTCCATAGCACATTTCTCATCACTCCAGTTATTTTCTTTGTTTGTTTGTTTGTTTGTTTCACCCTTTCCCTAGGCTCCAGGTTGGAGGAGATACAGTGCTAAAGAAAGAGCTGTTGAGGCAGGGTCATGATCACTGGTTGAACTACCCAAGGCAGGGTGAGAGATGTTTGTCCTTGCTGTCCTACTCTATGAGCAACTGAACTCACCAGGAACTACCTTTCTTTTTCACAGCACTCTTCAGTGCCTACCTGGGAGCAGCAGTGACCAGCATATTGTCTGTGGTAAGTAGTGTATCAGTTAAGGTCTGGTTTCTAACAAGAGATCTGAGCGCTGATCTGTATTTTTTCCTGGCTTGTCAGGCAAAACACCCAGATGTGGAGAGGAATTCAGCCAAAGGCAGACATGGTCCAGAAGAGAATTTATTATCTGCCCAGGGGGGTGGTGTGATTACCATTGGAATAGGTCACTTAGAATCATCACTTATCACTTTTCTTCCTCAGAGTTTGAATGAACTTCCACAGCTCAGCTCTCAACACTTATGAGATCACAGAATCACAGAATGGTTTGGGTTGGAAGGGATCCTAAAGATCGTCTCATTCCACCCCCTGCCATGGGAAGGACACCTTCCACTATTCCAGGTTGCTCCAGGTCCTGTCCAACCTGGCCTTGGACACTTCCAGGGATGGGGCAGCCACAGCTTCTCTGGCCAACCTGTGCTAGGGCCTCACCACTCTCAACTCTCACAGGGAAGAATTCCTTCCCAATATCCCATCTAACCCTGCCCTCTGCCACTGTCATTGTGAAACCATTCCCCTTGTCCTGTCACTGCAGGCCCTCTCCAGCTCTCTTGGAGCCCCTGAAGGCACTGGCAGGCTGCTATAAGGTCTCCTCTCTTTCAGATATTTACATTTCTATACTTTGTGCCTGATAATGATTGAGAAAGGGCACTCCACATGTGCAAAGAAATACTACATTTGGGTTTAATTCCCTTTCTCAATTGCCAAAGGACAATCAGTACAACAGCCCAGGGAAAAGCTGAATGCTTCTGGTGTCCATTCCTGCCTCATCTCCACCCACTCCTGCCTCATGTCCCTCTGAGACCAGGGTAGATGCACAAAGAGAAGGCAGCTCTCTCACCAGAGCTGATAGATATTACAGGCTAATGCACAGTCTCAAGATCTCATAAAGAAACCCTGTCTCCCTAGGGAAAGGCTCAATGCAGAACCAGGTCTAGACTTCCTTGAGAAACCTTATTCCAAAGTGCCTGGCTCTGGGTTTTATTCAAATAAAAGAAAGACACATAGTGAATAGGTGGTTTGCTATTTTTCTTTGCAGTATGGGGTGCCATCAGGAACCTGGTCTTTTTGCTTGTCTGCATTGACTTTCCTGCTAATAACCACGACCAACTCTGCCATCTACAAGATGCCACTCTCCAAAGTTGCCTACCCAGAAGCCAACCGAGCTTATTACCTGAAGATGAGGAAACATCAAAGGTCTTCCTGTGAGGCATAAAGACCCAAGAAGAGAGATACTTGGCAGACTTTAAGGCAAGACCACAAGGTGTTTCCCCAATAGAATGTTATTTGTGTGCTACAAAGTCAAACACCACCTTCTGAATGGAGAGACCTTTTCCACCACGTCTTCTTTGTTCTGTTAGAACAAAATTTCTATTAGATAGGACTGTGTTGGAAGGACCTTTTCCAAGACCAACCAGCCTGTAATGATTTTAAAGCACATATGTCTGGAAAGACATTTGAATAATAAAACAATGGGGAAATCACTTAGAAGTCATAAAGAAAAATCTCTTTGTGAAAGTGAAGGCACAGCAATCAGATGTAAAGCAATGAAGAGGATCTTTCAGCATCTGAAGGGAATCCTAATAAGTGGCTAAAACCACCTTATGACAGCAATAGGATACATCTTAGATAGCTTCATAGTAGCAGAGAAGTGGAATAAAGAGTACCCTTTGTCAAGTATGAAACAGGGGGTGAAGAATTCTACCTGGAGGACCTCTTGAGCCCCGTGGAGAAAACTGTGCATTAGCAGCCATCAAACATAAGATGGGGATGATTTTCATGATTTTTGTGTTAATCTCATGATTTTTCTTAATACTTGAACCTGGTGATGGGTTAACAAAGGAGAGGACAGCAAAAAAAGTCACCGCTGTCCCTTTCCTGTGCAATAAAATGGGTCTGTTCAGTCTATGAAAAGTAGAACCAGTTTGAGGTGATCTCCTTGACCTCCCTCTCTGCACTGTCCCCCTCAGACCACCAGTATCAAACACAGTAAAATGCTGCTCTGTCCCAACCTCCTGCTGGTGCTCAGGGGGGATTTCTGGCTCTCTGCAACTCCCTGACAGGAGGGTGGAGCCTGGGGGGGTTGGGTTCTGCTCCCAAGGAATAAGGTGAGAGAAAACATCCTCAAGTTGCATCAGGGAGATTTAGGCTGGATATTGGGAAAAAATTTCTTCACTGAGAAGGCTGTCCATCCCTGGCACAGCTGCCCAACGCAGTGTTGGAGTCCCCATCCCTTGAGGGATTTAAAAGCCCTGTGGAAGTGGCATGTGGGGACATGGTTTAGTGGTGGCCTTGGCAGTGCTGGGGGAGTGGTTGGAGTGGGTGGTCTTAGAGGTCTTTTCCAACATAAAAGAGTCTATGAAGCTGCTGCTCTGCCATTTCTCTCTGTCCCCCAATAGGAAAGGGATGGTTGGGGGACCAGAGCAGCAGAGCTCTGCAGCAGACCAGCCACATCCCACTTCTGCACAGGCTCCCAGGGTTTGCAGGGGGAGAAGGGGAGAAGCTGACCTTGCACTAAACAGCACTGGCCACCTCATCGGGCATTAACTCAGCCTTTCTGGCTCACAGAGATACTCCATCTCGTGGTGAAGATGATATCTTCACCAAAAATACTCCATATCCTAAGGTCTTGCAGTTGGCATGACCCTTCGTGCAGTAACGTCGCTCCAGGAAAAGCAAATCAAACCCTGCTCTTCTTGTAGCAGATTAAATAAAATCCAACCTGTGAATAGTGCTACTGACGATTTCTGAGTTGGGGGGCTGGGGGGGGGAACCACAAAAGAAACATGTTGTTTTTCAAGCATTGCAGAGATCTGAGTGTAAAATATTTGGGATAAATCGCTGGCAGTATATTCCAGTGAAGTTTCAGGTTTTCAGATGTTCAACAGTATTTCTGTATGACTGACACTCCGGAGGCCATTTGTAAAAACGTACCACTTATGGTGTCTTAATTAATAAATTCCTATATAATATTGTGTGGAGTTAATTTTTAAAACAAATATTCATCTCTTTTTGAGTTTGGTATAAGTTTCCCTCTATTTATCATCACTAAGCTTTCCAAAGACATGTTATCTTTTTAATAAGTAGTGCGGAAGACATTGGAAAATACAGTTTTTAAGTCAGTGTATGTGAGATATTTAGGAAACTTAACTTCTGCTCTTTGTGCTTATTACAGAATCCTAGAACTATAGACAGGTTTGAGTAGGAAGGGACATTAAAGACCATCTCGTTCTATTCCACTGCCGTGGACAGGGACACCTTCCACTGGACCAGATTGCTCTGTCAACCTGGCCTGGGACATTTCCAGGGATGGGGCAGCCACAGCTTCTACGGGCAACCTGTGCCAGGGCCTCACCACCCTCACAGACAACAATTCCTTCCTAATATCCCATCTAACCCTGCCCTCTGTACTTATGAAGCCATTCTCCCTCATCCTGTCCCTCCATCCCTTGTCCCAAGTCCCTCTCCAGCTCTTCTGGAGCCCCTCTGGGCACTGGAAGGGGCTCTCAGGTCTCCCTGGAGCCTTCTGTTCTCCAGGATGAACACCCCCAACTCTCTCAGTTTTTTGGCATTTTGCTGCATCAATGCCTTCTTACATGTAACAGGCAAACTCTGTACAGGAGGCACAATCAGCCAAAGGCACAGTGCTGGGGCCAGCAGAGCTTAAAAACCTCCTATAGACCAGGTAGTGACTCATTCCTAGGGGAGATACTGCACAGGATCACAGGTTGGGTCTAGATGAGGTCATGTTCTGCCTGGAGTAAGTTTTGAGCAGGTCCAGAGGAGGCCACAGAAATGCCCCAAGGGCTGGAGCCCCTCTGCTCTGGAGACAGGCTGGGAGAGCTGGAGATGTTCAGCTGGAGAAGAGAAGGCTCCAGGGAGACCTTTCAGCACTTGAAGGTCCCCTTAACAAAGATGGAGACAAACATTTTATCAGGGCCTATTGCAACAGGACAAGAGGTCACTGTTTTAAACTAAAAGAAGGTCAATTCAGACCAAATATAAGGATGAAATTTTTTATAATGAGTGTGGTGAGGCACTGGCACAGGTTGCACACAGATATGGTAGATATTCCATCCCTGGAAACATTCAAGGTTGGGCTAGACAGGACTCTGAGCAACCTGGTCTACTTGAAGATGTCCCTGGTCGTTGCAGGGGGCTTAGACTAATGACCTTCAGGTGTCCATTCCAACCCAAACCATCCAGTGGTTCTGGATAAATCATAGAATTTATCAAACTGAAATGCAAAATGATATTTTAGTGTATGAACTGACACCTCCCCACCCAGGACCATGTGTGCCCCAGAGAGCCAAAGCTACAAAGCCTGCTTTCATTCTAATGTCAAAATCTGCACTCGGGTAAGAGAACACACTTTATGGCCAGTGTAAATCAGCAGATTTCCTCCAACTGGTGCTATTCCAGCTTGCTGTTGCTGAGCAACAGGGACATTTTGGCAGTACCTTAAAGAAATCATATGCACAGAACTGAAAAACAACAAAAGATGAAGGCCATGTCTCAGCCACTAGAAAGATTTTGCACGTCATTCAGAATTAATCCTACATTTTATACTATCTAAAGAGTTTGTTCTTCCCATCACCCCTCACAAAAGAACAGATATTTGGTAATTTGACATGTATATCAGTCAGAACATGTGTGTCATGCTTCTTCCCATTATCCTTCATAACACAGTCTTTGCTAACAGAACTAATTTATCTTGTTATTGAAACTACTCTTTTTTTCTTTCCTTTAAATCAAATAAATGCTATTCAAGTCACCTGATTGTTTGGGTTTTTTTAAGCACTCTCTTTTCATTCTTTTTCTGACACTCAGGTGTTAACCAGGCTCAGTAAGAAACACTTAGGTGAGGCAGGAATTCTGGGGTATTTTCCTGGACTACCTCCCTCCCAGTGCCAGCATAACACAGCAAAAGAGTTGTCACTGTGTTTACAGTTCTTAAAATAAATACATACATATATACATACATAAACACATACATATAAAATACATACATCTGTGATTCTAAGACACTCATTTCCCCTTCCCCTAGCAAACCAGTATCTGGTTTGGGCTCAAGAGGCCAGTGTTCAGTCATGCAGCAAAGGCAGAGAATCCTTGATGATGATGATGATGATGATGGACTGGCAGGAGGAAACATTCATCCCAGGTTACCTGAGTACCAGACCCAAGAGCTGCAGAAGCAGGACCAAACCCGAGGTATGAACTGCTGCACACCAGCCTTTTAGATGCTTAAATCTGGGGACGTGCAACAATGAAATCTCCTTTATCTGATCCTCCAGCACTGCTGCGGGTTTTATTTGGTTTTACCGTGCTGCACATGAAATATAAACGGTATAAAGAATGCTCGTGTTGATTGTTATCTAATCTCTTGAATCTTGACATTCAGTGTAAAGGGTTGACACAGAATTTGGCCACAGTGAGGAATAATTCACCCTCTAAGAAAGATGCTACCCATGAGGAAGCAGTGCTGTGCATTGGAAAGATCATTGCTTGATTAGTGCTTGATTATTTCCCTCTCCCTCAGAGTGCAAGCACCACAAAGATCACTGTGGCAAGTGAATTGTTAGGCACAAATTAACACCTCTCTGAAGCTTTCTCTCTTTTTCTTGTCGCTGAAAACTGCCCTCAGGTGATAAAGCCTTTTTCTGTTATCAGAGGTTTAGCTTACTCCAGATTTGGAACGAGATGAGGAAACTGCATAACTGCCAAAGCCAATACATCCCAGTGACTTAAGACCCTCACCCTGCTTATTCTCAAAGGTACAGGTAGACCACAGTAATTAGCTTCACATGCATTGAAACAGAAAGTGTTTAAACAGGAGTTGGCAGTCTTAATATTTCATAGATCTGGGTTAGAAGGATCATCTTAGGTCCCCAAAGGTTATGTCCATGCTGGAAAATGAAAATAATCAGGTGTTGGCACAGATACCCATCCTGCTCTACAGAGGATACGTGCCCTGGTACAGTCCCAGCATTTGCCAACCAGCATCCACCAGGCCATGCCCAGACAGAGCTCAGCAGTCAGCACGGACACCTCTTGGCTCCTTCACATTTCCTGCACAGCTAATATTTAAAGATGCTTTATTTGCAAAGGGGCTCTGAAGGGTAAATTACTTATCTTGAGGTTGAACCCTCCTGACTTACTACTGCATTCCAATGCAAAGAAGAATCATAGAATAGAATCACAGAATTGTTTAGGTTGGAAAAGCTCATCAAGTTTCCCCAGCACTGTCAAAGCCACCACTAAACCAGGTCCCCAAGTGCCACATCCACATGGCTTTTAAATCCCTTCAGGGATGGGGATTCCACCACTGCCCAGGCCAGCCTGTGCCAGGGCTGGACAACTTCAGTGAAGAAGTTTTTTCCCTAATATCTAATCTAAACCTCCCTTCTTGAGGTTGTTTCCTCAAAGCAAAATAAAACACCTCAGCTTCAGTGTTCCTGTACATTCCATCAGCAAGGACTCTTTCATGTCTGACTGTTTGCAAGTGCAACCTCCAGGTCCAGCACAGCCTGGGGTTTAGCTCCTGCTGCCCACACTGCCCTTGGCATCTGGGACAAAGATGTCCTTGGCACACACAACAGGATACAGCAGCACTGAAGCCCTGCCCTTTGCTGGACACAGCAATGCTCACCTGGGGGTAGAAAGAGAGATGAAGAGGGAGGGGGAACACAAGTAACTCTGCAACCTGGTGGTTCTGGGCATCACACAAGGGTATCACTGAAGAAGGAAACCAGCAAGAGCCAGCAAAAGGGAGGCTGAAGGAGCAAGGTTGTGACAGAGGAGATCATATCACTTGTGCTGTGGCAAGAGCCTCAGAGACTGGGGCAACGAGATCCAGCCTGAAGCCGGATGGAATCTGGCCAACAGCACCAGTATTTCAACCTGCCCTGGGGATTGATGCAGCTTGAAAGCTGACCCCAGATATGAGGCATATTCACAGAATCACAGAATCATCATTTATGTTGTAAAAGACCTTTAAGATCATTGGCATGAGGAGGATTTCCCATAACAAATTCAGACACTTAGAAAGGAGCAACAAAATCAGTGCTGAAATCTAACAGAAACACCTGTGAGGGAAAATACA